CACTGCCTGCTTCTCCTCTCCCACACCACAGAAGTGCAGTAACTACCACTCTCATGATGCGCCTCAGACCAAACTTGACAACTATTTGTTCTCACTGCTGCTTCAGTGACACAATATGGAACAGGGATCCTGTACCAACAGAAAGCTTAGCTCTTCCAGCACTGTGTATCTCCTCCAGCTACTCCAAAGAGAGGAGTCTAGCTTACTAAATGCCGTGGAGGAAACAGCCACCGTCAAAGCAAACTGTCAACTTAAAGATAAAATTTAAGTCTTTCAGAGAAAAATGCAAATAAATAGATTCAAAGTGGGAAGGCCCGAAGGTTAAAATTATGCTAGCTCAAAGACATCACATTTCTACATCACAGTGAGACTCATTTCTGGTTTGGGCTACTGGCAATAATATTTACAGCAAGACTAGCTTGCTGGGAAAGACAAAGAAGTGAAGGATTAAAAGAATACATCTGGAAAAACAAATCTGCCATCTTGGTGGATTTCTCTAAGACTTGCACTCAAAGGCAAATTCATCGCAGCTTGTCACTATGTTTAGATTTTTCAGCTTACATATCAAAACTGAATCATTTCCTCAGTTGAGAAAAAAGTGAAAGTTGAACCTAAACACTCAAAATGATAAAGCCTTTGTCTTTTCTTAGTATCACAGTGCTGGTCCTTTTTAAGAAGCATGTTAGCAGGCCTGAAACCATCACTACTGGAGACAGGCTCCACAGCAGGCACATGTAAGGTACTCCTGGAGGTAGGAGTGGAACAGGCTAGAAGAAACAAAGTCCCCACATTTCTCCCAGCCAGGGATAAATCAACAGCTGTGGGGTTTGTATGGCATACCAGAAGCACGTTACTAAAGGTCTCTGCAGCATCAGGTAAGCCTTCTGAAGATAAATCTGGGTGATGGTAGTCCAGAATAGAGGCAGCACCAGAAGTCCCTAACTCACACACACAGTGACACTCAGAGCCCACCTAGAAAGCATCACACCACCAGCAGGGAGTGATACCTTGGCGTTGACAAGGACCCAGGGTGGAGCAGCTTTAATAGCTTTATCTTGTTTACAGGAAGGGTTCCTCTACAGTGGGTGTAGCAGCCAAACACACATAGGACAGGGGAGAAGAGCAAAGCAGCTTTTAACTATAAAACTGCACACAAACTAAGAATAGCAGAACTTTATCAGAAAGTTACAGATATTTCTCTGAATGTGGCAGCAACTTCCACCTGAAATTCTTCCCTATGTCTTGTTTCACACACAGTTGCTATATGGGGTTTTGCAGTTTCTCTCCCCCAGACAGGATGTTGGAGCACCTATGGGCAGACACAGCCAATGCTCCAGTAACTGGCACCTTCACCCTGCTCTTCTCCCACCTTCAGGAGATTCCTGCCTTGAAGCTTCAGTCCCTGGAGGGCACAGGCACTTTGTAACCCTCAAGTTCTTCAACTCTATCAGTGTCTCATTAGTCACTCCTGCTGCACATAGAAAAGCCTGAAAAGCCTGATGTTGTAAAGGCATATCCTGCATCCTCCTGCATTAAGACACCTTTACCTAACCATTAAAAAAAATAAACACACACATACATATATTTCTACCACAGTACTCCCTCCCAAGGCCATACTCTTCTCAACCACTCTATTCTGCTTGCATAACTAAAACAGTACCTTCTTTCAGGACTTACACTACTTAACCACCCAGCCACTAATTGGCTTTTTAAACCACCGGGATCTTTTTCAGAACTCCACCTATGGAAACCTTCACCTTCCTGTTTTGCTGCACCCCTGTGTCCCTCTCCTTCCTAGACTTTTATTCTCCCCTGATCCTCATTCACCTTCAATCTATTCTACCACCTTCCTACAAATCTCCATTCACTTCTAGTCCTTTTCTATCCCTGAAGAGGTTCCAGATAGCTCCATTTCCTTCAAAATATTCTAGTTCTGTCTAAACCAGAAAAACTTCACCTGCTGTCTCAGCAGCTGACATCTCTGCGGAAAAAGAAGCAAAAGAAAATGCAAAGTTGCCCAAACAACAACATGGGTAAGATCACAAAACAGTTTCATTCTCTTTCTGATCAAGTTTTTTTTATGGGTGCCTAAGGGTATGTCTGACACAAAACTCATTATACAACATGTTGATCTTTTTCTCAGGAATAGAAAATACTCCTTCAAGCCAGAAAAGCAGCAGCAGCCTCTGGCTTTCTAGTTATGACTCTGCATGCGTCAGGCCTACCATGGTTCTTACTTGTTTGTGAGCTGAAAACTCAAGACAACGCCCACCAGAGGTGCTTATCTCACTCAACAGCAAGGCAACATTTTTAAAATCAGACATGCCTCTCCCTTCACTGGCAAACTAAGAGATGTATCTCAAAAGCAGCAGCAATGCTTCTTCCTACTCTCTAACAAGAATGATTTTCCGTATTGTATAAAGATGGCTAGTTAGACCTAAAATGCTGAGTCTGCAGGGTTTTAAAGATGCTCTTTTGTTACCCCACTATTCAATTCTTTGGCTTCTGCTTCCCCTGAAATACTGTTTACCATGCCAAGCAGATAAATGCACTTATCCTTGAATTCACAGCATTGGCCCTAGAGAGGAGGAACACAGGAGGCACCTCCATCCAGCACCAGGCAGGCCAAGGTACACAAGCAGTGAGGGAGCATCCCCACAACCTCTTGAGATTGGGCAGTCTTCTCAGCACAGGAGCTCCAAAAGTTACCCTCCCCCTTCCATAATAAAAGGACCGCTGTACCAGACCAGCCAAAAGGTTCATTTGATTCTTCAACAGCTCAGCAACAAGCCCTCTCTTGCCCAATCCACCTAGCACATCCTATAACTCATCTAAGCGGTCCCATACCTAAGGGGTTACTTCAAATCCCTTCAATGACATCTGGAAGCAAGCAATTCCACAGTCTTCCAACGCTTTGCAGAAGCAAAGCCTCAGGGAAATTCCTGCTTGCAGAGAAAGATGAACGCTCCCCAGAGGTTTCAGTTGATTAAAAGGAAAATGCTTTTTTAGATGCAGATCAGTGCACACAGATAAGCAGGTACAACCTCTTGAGACAATGCCATAATCCTGTCACTGGGTTCCAATTACTCTCACGAAGGAACAAGCATTTTGCACATGCTGCTCAAGTGCCTTCAGCGCCCTGCCTTCACTCTAGACTATCAGCAGCTCGTTACCAGCAGTGTTTTAGCAACTCTCATCTAGACACAGATTTCTGGCCTTAACACAGGGCCTAACAAGACAGATTCAGCCACAAAAGAGTCTGAGACCGAGTCTTCAGCTACCCACCTTGCCCTACCACTTGTTTGCCCCTTATCACCCACGGAAGCACACTGAGGATGTATCTACTCCACAGCTTTACATACCACACACACCAGCTATTCCAGCAGTATTTGCACTAACAGCCCAGGCTGAAGTCTGCCCCAGCTCCAGAGCAAATTTACTACTTCTTCTGCCATCCCCACTGCAGGGTCAGCAATAGCTGGCAGCACAAACAGGAGGTGGCAACTGCCTGTGCTGCTGCAGTTGAACACAAGGGCTGGAGAAGCAATGGCAGATGTGGGTTGCACAGATGAAAAACATCCAACATATCCTAAAAATATAATGCCTCATCTGCAATTGCAACCAGTTTAGGACTCAAAAGGGACAGAAGCAGCAAAGGAATTGTCAAATGGCACCAGGCGATAGCAAACTTTCTCTGTCCTGCTGTTTGGATTTTTCCCATGAGATTAGGAGCAAACCTAAAAACTCTTCCCAAATGATTGGCTCAAGTAGATAAAGAGGAAGGACTCAATGATAGGAAGCTGCATAAGACGACAGACAAGTCTGTATCTTCCACGTAGCGGACAGCAGTTGTCAAGGGACACCAGGATGGTGGTGAGTCAGAACTTGGACTGAAGTTCACTTATACTTTCTCATGAAGAACGAACTATGCCATTCAGCGCCCCTCCTGCTTCCCTCTACAATGAAGCTTCTACCCATTTCCATCTTCCTCATCCTAACCCAAGAAGCTAAGGTGAGTTGGACCAGACAACTCTTGAGTTATTTCCTAAACCAGCTTATTTTCCTGCTATGTGGAATGAATGGCCAAGAATTGAAAGCCCCTTAACAGTAGGTGTAATGCCAGTCTTGGCAGGAGTGAAATTCAGGCATTGGATAAAAATCCAGGATTTAGATGAGCTCTTCTCATAACTCCCACTCTCTGAAGACCAAAGTTTGGTAGGTTGTGGCTTTCATTATGAATCCATTGCCCTCAGACTCTGTTCCTGTATTCTGTTTTGGGTTTTTTGGTTGGGGTTTTTTTTTTGGTTCTGGTTTGGTTGGGGTGGGGTTTTTTTGTAGCTTTTTTGTGGGTTTTTTTGAGGAGAGGGGAAAGTTCAGACTAAACGGATCAAATTTCAGAGTTAAACAAAGATTTATACAAAAATTTATACATTTTGAACAAATACAGAAGCCTAATATGCTTCCCAGTTCTTCCCAAAGTTATGTACATCCACAACATGCACACAGGAAAGATTTTAGATTTTTTCCAAGCACAGGAAATGAAAGGCAGGAGTATCCAACAGAATATATCCAGAGTCATGCTTCACCTTCCTTGATTAAAGGAAACAAAAGGTTTTTTTGCCTCAGCTTGCCCTCCCTGTCCTCTTTGGCAGCGTCTCAAAACTCTCACAAGCAGCATCTCTCTCTACATTCTAAGGAAATATTTATTCTATTTGGGTTTTGGGGTTTTTTTGAGTCATTTGAAGTTAAATGCTGTAGAAGGCACAGGGATCCCTTCAATCACAGTGAAACATACGAAGTTGATCTCTCGCTCTCAAACTGAGGGCAGTCATCTTTCCCAAATGCAAGGGGCAAAAGTGGAAATGGGGCACAGAGATGGATCTCAGCCTGTCCAACACAACAAAAGTATAATGGGAATCCAGGCTCACAGCCACTTATATCAACCAGTAAAACATCACATTCATTTCTCATAGTACAACACTGAATACGTGTCTACTCACATGCAGGTCCTTTGGATTTGCTGAGCCAACCTAGGACAGACAAAAGGAAAAATTAGGATTACTATTATGCTTGCTTTTATTCCTCCTTCAGCCAGCAGAATTGGGTAAAATTAAACAAATTGCGTGGCTTCTTCAGATCCTTATTATTCCCTTCAAACCAGTTGCTTCAATAGCACTGTCTGGATCAGTGTAGTAACAGCATGAGTATTATTATTTGAATAGTCTAATTCTGTGTCCCTCTGCATCTGCTTCCTAGCCATCTTTTCAGCCTGGCCACTATTCTGAAGCTCCTCACCATGCTTTTCCATACTATTCTGCTCTTACTAAGCTCTCTCCAAAGGGACTGGAAAGAGGAATTGTACCTGAAACCGCTCCCCCTTCTCTCCATGGAGAGCTACACAGATCTTTGGGCTGACCCTGTAATTTCTCCAAACAAGAAGCACGCGGGTTAGAATCAAGATCCTGTGTTCACGTACAACCCCTCCCACATTTCCGTCTGGCCATCCAATGTTATAGTGTCCTTGTTTTCATGACCACTGAATTCATCCCTAGCTGAATCCCTGCAGCCTTCCTTTCAGCTGCGTAATTAGAGACAAAGGAAACCTCTGCTTTGCACAGATTCCCAAAGAATAGGAACAAGTCTGAATCTGCTCAATGACTGGAGTGCGCTCTAACAAGCTGTTCTATGCAAAGCAAACAAATACCAGCGGTATCCAAGAGCTTCTGTGCAGAATAACCTTGGCACTGAAAAGACCTTAGAACAGCAAGCAGCAGATTGGCTGCATTTGCGTCAGAGACAACACACAGGAATGAAGTCGTTTCAGTTTATTCAAGCTCAATTTATCACTTTAATGGCAATCCTAGAAATTAAAGAGCTAGCTTTATAGCGTTTCCACACGTGACCAGTCAACAAAAATCAGGCTGCGTCTAAATCTAAATGGACTTAGATTCACCGAGCCTGGGTTGTTATTAATTTTTAAAGGTTAATATTTAAACTCTCTTATTTATGGGTATTGATATTTGCTTAATACCGGATGTTTAATACTTTTACCAACACCTTTACTTGCATTTCCCAGGACCAGGTGATGCTATTATCAATAATGAAAGGACCACCCTATGTTTTGATAGGTTTCTGACAGAGCTGGTTATGAATCTGAGAGTGATTACACCATTTGGAACATAAATGGTAGGAAGCTTTCAGAGTATTTTAGAGACTACATGTTAAAATTTAATGAACAACTTATTCTGATCCGCTGTCATCCTTCCGAAAATAGCCTGGCTAGACAGGAGGACCATTGTGAATGAGATATAAACACAAGGCCTTTGAGAGCTTGGGAATAACCTTAAAGGCCAGAGGTGGAATGGAGGGGAAAAAAAATAATAAATAAAATCACAGCAACAAAGGAAGAATGGAGAAACGTTATATGTAGAAAAGCACACAAAATGGTTGCTACTGTTCCCCTCCAATACCTCAAAAATTCCCCAACTCTATCTACTAAGCACCCCAGCTCTTAACTACATTCCAGATGAACCCCCAAAGAAAACAGAAGAGACAGACAAAGAACTACGCCTCGGCATTTCAGGGCCTTGCTTTCCAAGTCTCCTTGCCTGCTCATTCCTTCATTAATTCGCCCAACTAATCTCAGAGAACTTGCCAGACAGGGAAAAAAGGCCTAACAGTGATAAAGCTCAAAAAAATATTTCTGAACAGCACTGAAATTTCGGTAAATCCTCCTCTTCTCACATAGCTTTGCTGCTTGCCCATCACCAAATGCCGTGTTTTTTCTGTGTTGAAATGTGCACAGCAGTTATTTTTATGTTTATGGATATCTTCCTGTGAAAAGGGAGCAGTTTCCCCAAATTCTGCAGTGTGCTTAGTGACTAAGCAACTTACCATACTTTGGATAGATTGCTTGAGACAAAGCACTGAAGATTTTCCTTAAAAATCCATGCATAAATAAAATCAATTTATTACCAGAGCACAGACCAGATGCTTGCTGACTGGAAATGAGTCTGCCCTCTGCATTAACCATGTGGCAAAGAGAATACATTTCTGCCCAGAACATGAATATATCTCTAAGCCTCCTGGAACTCAAGAATAGAATTTCTAAATAGCAAAATTATTGCAATACAATACACATCATATGGTTTTAGACATATGAATCACAAACTCTGCTTTCTCACTCAGAGCTGAGCCAGCCATTGTCTCCATGCTTGTCTGTCTTTTTATGAGAACATTCTTCAGCTTTTGTAGCAATTGTGAGCATGTCACGTTGGCCCCGCATTCAAGATAAGCATTACCACCAAGAGATTTAATACAATCTCTTGCTTCGTGTTAACATCGCTTTGCTCTGCCTGCTCTGAATGATTTTGCTATGTAAAGTAATAAAGTGAGGATGGTGGGTGGCTGGGGGACAAAGATGAGGGAAAGATGATTTTCCAAGCGCCTCGCCAGTGTTCTTTGTTTCTCCATCTGGCTCCCCGCTCCTCGGCTGACTTGCTCATTAACGTTCCTCATGGCTGGCGTGCTGCCGCAGGTGCAGTTCTCCGGGACCATGATGCATCCCAGATCACCCCCATCCCTCCCAGCACCGGCAGCTGGGTTGCTACCTCCCAGTCTCAGAAAAACTGTATATGGAAGTGCTCCTCAGTAAAACACTTCCCCTCCCCCAGGATTTGTTCCCCTGCACATCTTGCCCTCTGCTATGATCTCGGGCTCCCCTCCACATGCACTTACTTTCTCACTTCCCCTGTAGGAAATGGTTCATGCCTAGCCACCGTAATCCTATTTAGCTGATGATCTGCCTTGATCAGTTTACCACAGCTGGTTTCAGGTCCCGAAGCAAAAGAAACACAGAAAGGGAAACAATGCAAACCCACTCTCAGATCCTCTGACATGCTTAACCAGCGCTTTTGTTAATGTCGCTGGATGCCTCAGAAATGATACTAAAAAGGCTTTCCAGTATTGTGGCTGCCTTTCCCCACTCAGCAGCCCCATGGAGCACAAGACATTTGCATACTGATTACAGACTCAATTGAAGGTGCTGCAGTGTGTAATGGGAGTTTCAGACAGGAATGGTGCACTCCTGCCCCAGGCTGGGAGGCATATCTGACCGGCCTACATCCGAAATGAGGCAGCAACACTATCCCAAACAACAGCAAGACTGGAAAAAAACATGGACAGATTAGATCCAAAGAGACCATGTCCCTTTCCCACTCTCACTATCAGTTCTTGCCAATTTGTCACTCTCTCCTGTATGCCCCCCTGCCCCCATTCCTCATTACATACAAAGCCAAAAATCAGGCATGGAAGATATACAAGTTGGGCATATCTGATTTCAGCAGCCTCTCCCTTCCAACTCAAAGAGCCAGAAATACTAAAAGGAAATCAACTCCTCCTCCAGCAGTTTCCAGCACCAGCAGACTTTTCCATATAGGATCACCTCAGCTTTGAGTGCATCTGGCAACTAACATTTATTCTGCTCTATCACACAAAGGCCAATTCAGGCTTCACTGATGCTGAAGAGTGTTAGTCATGGGACATTCTCTGGTGCCATGATATATCAAATAAATAGGACTTTTTAGAATTACATTGAGTACTGAGGTTTTGTTTTCCAAGGTAAGCTGTTGGTCTACATTTGACTTCAGCAGCTGTTGCAATCTACGTGCCTTTAGGGACTAAGTTCCTTTAAAGTTCTGTGCAAAAGCACACAGAGTTATTCCTTCCATCCCACGCCACTTACAATCAGGCCTCTCTCTACAGACAAAAACTACATCATGGCTGGTCTGAGAGAAAAGACATATTTTAGTCTACACTGGGTAAATAAACAAATACTTCACATCATGTAGTACCTTGTGAATATCCAGTATATTTTTCTTCTTCCACTCATTTCTAAAAGGCAAATTCCCTCACCTCTGCTGACATTTTACATATAATCTCACTGCAGTGCTATTTACATTATTCACCACTCTTGTCCATCAGATAAACATAAAGAAGTTTGAAAGGTGAGGAGGGGAAACTCAAGCAGCAAAGAGGATCTCGTAGAGGGATGCAGTTAGCAGGTGCTGGGGTGTCAGAAGATAGCACACACGGAAACACCGAACAGATTCATCAGCTGTGCAAAGAGCTGAAGACAGTCTGTGCTTCCAAAACTACTTCACACGAGCAGTTGCTACAGGGCATACGGATTTGAGTGTCTACATGAGACTTTTACTCAAAACGTGATCCTGCTCTTGTGACAGACCAGATGCAGTGAAGGGATGAGAATGGAAGGGAAAAAAACCTGGGAGAATCAAATGACAGAGTAAAGGACATGCATTTATTTACTAATATGTAAGACCCGTTCGGTTCAGACACTGCCCTTTACTTAACAAGCAGAAATGAAAGATTCCCTGTGAGTATTGAAAGATGTATACAAACGCATCAAACATCACCAGCTTCCTCATAAAAACATAAGCCCACCTCCATACTTATACATCTCCCCCTCCTTGCAGCATATGCAAACGTTTCACTTACCTGTGGCCTGTGTTTCCAAGATAAAGGTACCAAAGGTAACTAGCAGAAGAAATAACCCATGGCTAGTCAAGGCAAGAGACGATCCTGTGTTGCTCTTTGGTGCTACCATTCCATGGCACATCTTTTAACCACCAAAGTTTCTTTTTTTAAAAATTCCCGAAATATCTGGTTGATCAGGAGCACCTTGGTCTACAAAAAACAAAGACAAAGAAAGAAACACTAAGTGTTGAGCCAAACACCTACATCATCTGGAAAGAAGGGGAAAAGGGAAAATTCAGAAACAAACAAAAGCAACCCTTTGTGTGGCGAGATTCCTAAATGCTAGAACAAGTATTCACAGTTCACAAGGCAACAGGAGCAGAAAAGACAATCTTCTGCACAGAAAATACTAAAAGGAGCTGCATTATAGAGAGACCAGAACTTTTCACTCACCCTCTAATATTCCAGGTATGAAGCCTGCCTAACTTACAATTAAATTTAGCTTTTCCTTTCAAGACAACCCAGAGAATATCGCATCTGGAGAATCTGTTTCAAAATAACTTCAAGAGAGCCAGCCCTCCTACACCCCCACCACTTTTCAGAAGGTCTCCAAAGACACAGCAGACTGTACTAGACAGCAAGGATAAATAAATCAAATGCTTCTTCCACCACCTGGAGAGACACAGCAAAGCTGACAGCCAGCCAGCAGGCAGGCAAACACACGCTTACGAGGAGGAATGTAAAACAGCTTGCAAACCTCAGGTATAATGTTCTGACAGTTCAGAGCATAGCAATTAAAACTGCAGGATGTGACACTGCTCATACCTGAGGACTGAGGGATTCCGCCACAGCCTATCAGGCACTGGCACAGGAAAAACAAACTTGTACACAAACACACAAAGCACAGTCGGGAAATCAAGAAAGCACAAAGTTGAAGCCCTATTTTAAATGAAGGAAAAAGACCCAGCAGAATAAATGCCCCACCAACCTACTTTGGTTTTAGCCTGCAAGGCCTCCAATGGTAACTTTGGACCTGGATGAACAACATCATGAATGACTACAATGCTCATCAAAGAAAAGTTGGGACTAAAAAATATCTGTGTTTAGTGGTTTTATAAAGGAGAAAGGAGAAAACTGGGATAAAGACAACCGGGTGAGTGATGGAGTGAAAAAGAAACAAACCAAAACCAACAAATAAACAAACCACGTGGAGACACATTTCAACACTTCTGTCCTGTTACTCCTTACACAAACACCTAAAGCTCTCAGGGAAACAAAAAAAAATTGCAGAAACTAATGTTTCTTTACACTTGACCACAGCAACACTTTCAATTTTGAGGGAAATACCATTCAGCCACATCTTCTCCAGTTAAATGGGTATTTATACTGAAGGAGGATTTTTTATTTTTTTCAGCAAGTTTCCCATAGAAATTCAAAACTGCTGGATAACTCCATGTAAACCTGAGAGGTGCAAAGGTGGGTATCGTACTCTTTGGTACCCCATGAGAAGAGATGGGAGACTTGGTGTTCCTACACCTAAGGGAAGACAGTATGCCTTTCAGATCCTTAAGTACTTTTGAGATGGAAGTCAACATGCCAGCGCTGACCAGAGAAACACACATCTCAAACAGCCACAACTCACATTTCCAATTACTCATGCCAAAAAGAAGCTGCATTATGGGAGGGAATATGTAGATCTGCCATGAAACCTGGAAGCCATTCTAGTGAAGAGGGTTTCCTTAGTTCCATGTCACTACTTTGCTCATATTTCCTTCACAAAAGGGCTATCTTTAAGATTTGGATCTTTCGAGTCAATTAGTCTCTACCAGAGAAGAATTCTCTGTCTGCATACACCCCCGACTTGAAATATCATTTCAAGATGACATTTAAACTGCCATGTGGCAAGTCTGGAGCTGATGCTACAATAAACTCTGTGTCTGCCCCTTTTGTTTCTTGCTTGATTTGGAGGGGGAGGGAGAGAAATGAAGCTGTCCCACTCTATGCCTCTAGCACCGCCTATAGATTTCTCATACCTTTCACAGACAAGGAGCCAATGCTTTGTTCACCCAACTGCTACCATGCAGAAAGGAATAAGGATGCTGTCACTCACCTGCTAGAATTCCTTCAGCAACAATTAAACCACAGAATGAAAAAAATACTCTGTGAAGAAAGCCAAGCCAGCTAGGCTGTACATCGGTCCCCTCCTCTCAAGTTAGGTCACCCGCATGAATTTTAAGTTCATATTCAATTGGAAGAGGCCAGCATCCAGCTTACACTCCAGGCCGACAGCTGGCCGCTTTCTTGTAAGAGTCACTGTTCTACACTGAATTACAGCTCTGACAAAGCAATGCACCCCCTTCAGCAAATGGCCCTTCTGATTAGATCAATACAGGTCTGTCTTCCCCATTCCAACTTAATAAAGCCTCATTAGTATAACAAACTCCACAAGTCTTGCCAAGGTATCTTTTAAAGGTGCCCTTCCCTGTCCTTGGACCAGTGCTCGCTGGTGACATATCAGTGGCCAGAAGGAGAGGTAGGGAAGAGGGCATGCAATTATCTCAGAATTTGCTGAGCCGCCAGAGGTGTGCTGCCTTGCCCCAGAGGCGTTTTCCTCGCCCAAAGATTGCACGTGGAAGCCAGCAGTTCAATTCTGGACTCTGAACAACAATCTAATTAGAGATACCTAAACCAAGAATATCTTCTGGGGGAATCAATTATTGCTTATTCTCAATTCACTAACAGATTGCTCCAAAGCACAGTGCTGTTTCCCTCCTTTCTTCTAAAGTCGGGCATGGTTTCCCCATGTCTTTTCAGCTACCGAGTCGCTTCAGTCCCAGGTTATCAAGGAACCTGTCTGTCAGAGGCACAGGGCTGCCCCACAAGGAATGCTGTAAATTGCTACTGCTACGCCTCCAGTAACATCCCACTAAGCTGATTTAGTTCAGTGTAGGATTTGAAGGAGGCACAAAGGTAGCAAAACCATTTAGTGAAAGATAGCATCGATAAACCCCTCCGAATTGTTAGGAGACAATGGGCACAGGTACCGCCTGCGAGGATCCTCCCTCAGGCTTCGGGCAAGTTACAAAACTTGTTCCCAGCCTCTACTTTTCCTTGGCAAAATTAGAAGATGAAAGAGATTCTGGCTAGATAAGAAGGTATCCTTTCCTCCCAGAGGGAGCCGGTGGTTGGTAAGCTATTTAGACAGACATTCAATTCTCTGAAAGTTGACTGTTGATTTAGCACATTCCTCATACCTACAGCTCAGGGGGAAGCAGCTTTCATAACAATTCTTCAGGCCTCCACCTCCAGAAGTCAACTGGAGTGTGCTGCAGAGCACACATGTTTGTCAGAGACACGCTCTCAGGGAGATAGCTTAACCATTCGTGGGTCCACGTGCATCAAGGCGATTGCCTGTTTACATGCAGCATTAAGGAACAGGCTGGTTTCTTTAATGGATCCTAGAAACAACGAGGCAGAGCTGACAGTAGCAGGAGTGTACGGAGCGAGGACACTTCAGACCTGTTCCACATGCCACAGCCTAGGCTGCAGGGTTATGGGAGGATTAAGTTTAAACAGAGATGTTTTCAAAGATAATATTTAGAAGAGCCAGCAGTTCCCATAAATACCATAAGGAGGGGAGGGGAGACTCTTCTCTGTTAACAGTAAATCAGTCAACAGAGGTATTTCTTTTGCTTTCTTTTTAATGTGCACTTTGAAAAACACCTACTAAGTACGGATAAGAAAATAAACCATCCTTTATGGCCTCAAAGTCAATAGCCACACACCTTCCTCAGGGAATGCTGTGAACAAGGGGAAAAGTACTCACGGCTGCTGAGTTACAGCCATACCAGGCTCCTTCTTTTCTTGAAGCCTTGTCATCAAGCAGCCTTCCCAGTGATGCTTCAGCATGAGTCCCCCTCACGGCATGGCCAGCCCTGCTCGCACAACAAGCAGTAGTTTGCTTCTACAGGAACTCCCTGAAGCCGACATCAGCCTCCCCTGAAACCACACAGGCCAGACTTCCTGCTCGCTTTTAAACCACAATCAGACTTTTCCAAAGATGATGCACTCGCATATGATAGGAGCTTTTTCTAAGCTAAGCTGTTCGGGGACCTCTGCCGTGTTATCTTCTAGACCTTCAGAAGCTGCCAACTCACATCCCTTGATCCAAGTTCCCTTCGTAAGCATGCATACATTTTCCCAGGGTTATGACTAATTTTCTGATTTCTCCCTATTTTGTCATAGCAGGACTCCTAGGTCCCCATGGAAATGTGTTCTTTGGAAGGTCATATGCTGAGGACATGAAAGAGAACCAGACTCATGTAGTTCTGGTATACCAAGAGCATGGGATGTCAGTGGGGTAGACAGGACATTTTGAGGGTGTCCAGTTGCTCAAGATGCCTGGCACAGCTATGTCCTGTGTCACCCTTTCTAGAAAACTGGTCTTCAACATAGATTCTTCAGGGTTTATTTAGGGAAGTGTTCAGTATGTTTGGAATGCTACTGGCTTGCTTTTAAATACCATACTCAAAACTTGCCAAAAGAAAATTAGTTATCCTCACGCACATCAGAAATCTCTATTTTATTCACATAGTTTCCCCCTCACAGAATAACACTCAGAAATTGTTTGTTATCTCTTGAACGCACACAGGAAAGATCTTGGCAGCGGGATGAGTGATGGGTGTGCACAGCATACCTTTTGAAAGGCTGAGTACAAGGATTGTTCTTGCCTCATGGACATGCTGTAGGTGGAACCTAATGCGAGCAGTGTGATTCGGAGGATTTAACCTTCACTCTTAGTTGCTGGTTGTGCTGTATTCTTATTTTATCTGCTTTCAATGAGCAGTCAAGCTTTAAAACAAAAAAGTCATCCTCTTGGCTGCTTAGTAAGAAAAATTACAGAAAAATAAAGTCCAAGTGGCAGCAGAGGAAAGAAATCTCTAAAATCTATTTACTTTCTGTAGCTAAACCTGTTTAATTGAAAGCTTTTAGAAACAGAATTGTATTTTTAACATTTTTGGGATAACTTCACAGTTCAATTAAACTGTTCAGTTAAACTAGACATAAAGAAAAAACCCAAAGCATTCAGAGTTACCTGCAGTTTAGAACAATCTTAATCATCTGACTTTTCAGCACAGCCAACTCTCAGTTATCCAGGATAATTGGAAAAGGTAGAAGAGGAAGAGAGAAAATAAGAAAAACCAAACAAC